CGTCTAATCGGGCTGTTTCGTGTTGAAATCTTTGGTTTGATTGGCTAATCACCTAATGAGATCATGTGATATGAAAATCGATTAGTTGCAACTATAGTTGGCAACTAATCGATTGGCAAAATTTTTACCAACTCGGAACACTACCGTCCTCCTTTGCTGTGGGGAACCCATATATGTTAAACCAGGTTCGCAGAGACTTAGCAAAACCCTTAGAAAGTTTCGACTGTATCAGTAATAATTTCGGCTAGTTCTTTGAAGTTTCGGCTATATATTAAGTACGGATTTCCGAAAATTCAAGAGTCTGCTGAAATTTTCTGAAAACAGTCTAAATACCAAAATCCATTAGAATTGTGCCTATAATATTTGAGACCTAAATAAACTTTTGCAGAATCTACAAGTGACATTACTTTTAGAGTCCGCAATGTGGCCGAAACGGAAAAAAAATTTCGACCACAGGTGTATATCTCAATATCTGTACCCATACTTACGGTCATCACTGAGAATAGATCACTTCTTATAAATTTACTTGTAAGGAAAAGACGTTAAATATGTAGTGGCCATTCTCGATATCTGTAACCACACCTAATAATAATCTGAAATTTTAAATGTATCCTTTAGCGGTTACAGTAAATTACTTTCAATACTTTGAGAGAATCCGCGTGTGAACCAAAGGACCTTGTAAATTAGTTTAATATTCGCTTCATAATACGTGGAATTTTTGATAAAGTTAATCAAACCACACCTGTTAGAAGCGTTAATAATTTATCGCCTATTTCAAAATAAAATTTGCATCTCATTTTAATGTTAAAAAAATTGAGTGCAACCTTGCCCAGAGTCAATTTTAATGCATAATCTCGTGATTATTGATAATCCTTATCAATATTCTATGTACACGCTTCTCCTTTTTTTGTAAAAGAAAAACGTACGTACTTCCGAAATACTCGCTGTCTGGGAATTTTTCCTAGCTACATATGCAAGATTTTTCTGGGAAACAAAAATTGTCGCGAATATTTGATATATCGAAAGTCATAAATTCTTAAACGCTTCAATTTCTCTTGAGATCAAAGACTCGTATGTTTGAGAGTAATAATTATGGCATTATTCTATTAAATAAGGCTCTGATTTATATTTACGTATCAAGAATATCTATTATACGAGCGTGTATTTGATTTTGACCTCAATAAAATCGGATTCGATTTTTTTTTTTTAAACGTTGTCTTTGCACATTTTGTAGTATCCAAAAGTGTCAATTTACACTTAATACATTTTATTTACCTAATGTTGCATCAACTAATCTAAAATTTTACAAATTGTCTGCCTAATGGCACGACAGTAATTTGTTTATACAGTATAAATACATTCGATGTATGAATATCAACACCAACTTTAAAACCTTGAACTCAAATTTTATAAGGTATTCTTAATGATGAAATAGTCTTAAATTAGTATGAACTAATACCATGCCATGTTCGTCAGCAGCTTGTATCACAGCTTGATCTTGTATAGAACCACTTGGTGCGGCAACATAATTAACACCAGATTGACGAGCTCGATGGATATTGTCTGAAAAAGGGAAGAATGCATCAGAAGAAAGTGCAACATCTGAGAATGATGCTAAATGTAATTTGCGTTCTTCAGGTGTCAGAGGCTCAGGAATCGTATTAAATTGTGATTCCCAAGAAGCACGTTCTAAACCCTAAAAGCATAGGAATTTCAGTTAATTCATTTAGAATTTAACTATAAATAAAAATAAATGGTTTATTGGTATAAAAAGAAAAAGAACCTCTCCAATCTTATCCAATATGTACAGATCAATTGCATTACTTTTTTCAGCTCGTTTTGTTGATTTTTTAAAATCGAAAGCAATCACTTTAGGATGGTGACGAAGCCACCAATTGTCGGCTTTTTCACCAGCTAGTCGCGTACAGTGAATGCGTGACTGTTGTCCAGCACCAAGTCCAATCACCATACCATTTTTAGCGTAACATACAGAATTAGATTGTGTATATTTAAGTGCAATTGTGGCAACAATAAGATCGGTGATCGCTGAATTCGGGAGCTGTGAAAAAAAAAATTATTATGTTTACGTTTTTTACTACAAACTCACTTAGTATTAATATATTAACTTACATTCTTATTCTGTGTTACAATATTTTCAAATAATTTCTGGTCAATTTGAACGTTATTACGTTTTTGTTGAAGATATAATCCGTAAACCTGGCGAGTTTCAATTTCCGGAGGTTCATAATTGGGATCAATCTACAAGTATAATTATGTATAAAACATAATTATGTATTAACAAAGTAAATAATAATAATGCTGGCTTTAATTATTCAGTTTATGTAATGTATCCTAACCTGAATCACAGTATATTTTCCCTCCTTCTTCTTACGCAAAATCTCAAGTGCTTGAGCATCATAACCAGGGGCGATAACACCATCGGATACCTAAGCAAATATTATGAAATAGACATCAATAATGATATAACGTAATGTATATACTTATGAATTGTGAAATACCTCACGCGAAATAATTTTAGCAGTAGGGACATCGACTATGTCACTCAAAGCAATCCAATCACCAAAGGAAGACATCCTATCTGCCCCTAATGACAGATAATAAAGGACATATAATAAAGTCAGATTTGTTCCTAATAAAAGTCACGTAAAATTTAAAATAAATTTACCTCGAGCACGAGCATAAGCATTAGCTAAAGGAGTTAGTTCTTTTAAATCATCCACAAAATACACCTTTTTTTCAGTCTCATCCAATGGAAGACCAACGGCAGCTCCAGCAGGAGACACATGTTTAAAAGAAGCAGCAGCTGGAAGATTGAGTGCAGCTTTAAGTTCCTAGCAGATAATTACTCCATAAATCTCTTGACAATAAATAAATCAATAGTAATAATGCATTCATGACTAAAGTCGCGTGTACAATACCTTTACTAATGGCCAGCCATTTAACGCATCGAGAAGATTAATATAGCCTGGTGCACCGGATAGAACTATATAGAAAAATAAATTAAATTTTAAATTTAACTTCATATTGCTAAATATGACAATGTAGTGAAATATAAATACCCTGTATAGGAAGACAACCATCTTTTACGAAAATTTGGGCAGGCTTTTGATGTGGATTGGCACCGTAACGTAAAGTAAGTTGAGAAATATCTTTTGAATATTGTTGTCTAAAATAATTTGAAATTGCTTCATCGTAATCTGCAGTGTGATTGAAGGCCTGGAATTGACTGAATACATTAAAGTATTGATCAATTATCATAAAATGATTGATTTAAAATTAAGTTATTAACCTTTAACGCAAATAATTTACGCGAATTTTCGGATATACAACCATCCTTTTTTAATTCGGATAAAAATGTTGAATAATCATTTGGATCGGAAAGAATAGTCACGCGATCATGGTTCTTTGCAGCGGCTCTCAAAAGCGTGACACCACCTATTATCTATGTATATTTAGGGTCTGAAGAACTTTATGTATAATCCGTGAAAAATATTCATAAATTTTCTCACCAATATCAATTTCCTCTACAGCTTCAGCAATTGTAATCCCTTCTTTTGCAATTGTTTCTTTGAAAGGATAAAGATTACAGATAACGTAATCAATTTTTTGTATTTTCTGTGCAATCAGGTCAGCTTCATCACTTGGAATGTTGCGAGCGAGAATACCTATTTCAAAGTAAATAATTCGTTGAACATATGACGAAATTCTCACGTGATTCACAATACATACCACCGTGAACCACTGGATGTAAAGTCTTTACACGTCCTCCTAAAATTTCTGGTGCATTGGTTATTTCGGATACATCCCTAAATCATTTTAAATAATTCGCCAAATTTGTAAAAAAAAAATTTTGATTAATATATGATAACCTTAATTGTACTTACGAGATAGGAATTCCTGTTTCTCGAATTTTTTTGGCAGTTCCCCCAGAACCAATAAGCTTTACATTTAGGTCATTGAGTTCTTTCGCAAGTTCAACCAAACCAGACTTGTTATAAACCGAAAGAATTGCTTTGGTATAAAGTAAATGAACATGATAATGAACAATAAAACTCCTATTATTTCTGAGATATAAACATTTGTGCTAGACCTGAGCATTCCTTCACTCAAAAAAGGTATTTAACTAGCGCTTACCGAGTTTTTGTTCTGCCATTTTTTCAAGTAAGTTAATGAATTAATTTGTGGCTTATTTTAAATTATTTCTATTAATCCGATTATCCGCAGTATTGATTACACTGTCAAACATTCGTATGATTGGCTAATGTAAATCAACTATCAATATAACTTTATACTTTTTGAGAAAGTAACGCTTCACTACGTCTAAACCTAACTTTAAACGCACGTTAACGTTAAATATTCGCGGACTTCGCTTACTGTAATGCAAATCTAATTACATTTAAATTGCAATAACTTTTGAACAGGCAAACTACACAAATAAAATTACATTTGTCGGGTTCATTTAGTGCGCTCTTTAAAGTAATAACGCCTCTTTTTTTATTTATTTATTTTTATCTTAAATTTTTATCTGGAGTATTTTTAAAAACAACGTTAAAATTTTTTGTCAAATCATATTGTATTATGCAATGGTGACCGACACAAATTCAAAGTTACGTTTTTTGATATTTTATTTAAAAATGCATGCTCCAAACAATAAAAATCAATGAAAAAAAGCGTTATTCTTTAAATAGCACACTAAATTTAACCCGACAAATATAATTTTTATTTGTGTAGGTGTCCTGTCCTGTTCAAGAGTTATTGCAATTTAAATTTTATGTTTTTACTATTTATGTTGATGATTAATGGCCGTCACTATACCACCTTGGATTTAAAAGTTCAATATTGAACCTAAACTGAACTTTTTTTAAAAAATGGTCTAGTTTAGTTCAATTTTGAACTGAACTTGAACTTGACCAAAAGTTCAGTTTTGGTTATTATAATACTCTATTTTATATTCTATTTTATATTCTATTTTATATTCTATTTTATATTCTATTTTATAAATTTCATCTTAAGTCTTGGGTCATTTTTATTTTTGCTATATTCTTTATTTATTTTTTTTTTTTACTGTATTTATAATATTTTTCTTGAACTTAAATCTATTTTTCTTAAGTTGTATTTTTTGTTT